TTACTTATTATTCAGTATTTTTAATACTGAAAATAAGTAATTATCAATGATTCTTAGTATGATATTTCTATAAGGGTTTGCGTAACAAATTTTTTTCAGAAAATTCCCGTCAGAAAAATGCTGTTTCTCCATACAGTACACTGCAAATGCACGATCGTTTATGTTGAATGTTCAATATTCTTTCAATTAATTCTTCAATTAGTCGAAAAGGCCGTTAACGATCTTGTGAAAGTGTAGGCAGTAGCTCGTCGAATCAATCGTCGCGTCGGTAATAAAGCGCACCAAGTAGGGCCCCGTATGTTAGTGGAAGTTACCGGCAGGGTTATGTGTGTGGTTCCCAAATCAACAACCACTCTTCGCCACTTCAAGTGCAATACTTATTTATAAAATGTATACTGCGTGCAATGCTACATTTGCAAGACAGTTTCAAACATAAAAAAATGCCAGGTATATTAATTTTATAAAATGAAACAAAATGGGGATGTTGATGAAAATTTCATTTGCGTGTGCAAGATCGATATATGAGCACTCTCTTATTATTAATATAAAAAATTATAACTGAGCTTAGTCTTAACTCTTGAAAAAAAAATGTGAATTCATCGATATGTATCTTGCATTTCATCCACTATAGTCTATCTGAAAATTGACGGGAACCATCTTACGTGATGAATATCTTTTTCATCGATCCCTTGTGGAAATGACGCGTCGCCGTGAGGTAAAAATCTTCAATTCCATTCACGGCGCAATTTCCTCTCTCTTTCTTGCTTCAATCTATCGTCATGGAATTCTGTCGATGTTGCGCATGCGCTCTGACATTGCATGCGATCGTTGGGTGGCGGTGAGGTGCCGGGGGAGGGGGGGACGAGTTCGAATTGAGCGGAAGGAAGGCCGCCGCCGCGTCTCTGTCGCCATGAGGCACGATTCATTTTCAAGCTTAGCCGAGACTCGAACCAACGAGTCGGTCGTTACCGTTAGCGGAATGGACTCTGGACTAACCACCCCATACACTCTATCTACGACCTATTTCAATGACCGCCATACAGATGCCGCTGTGATAATCGTTGGATTTCAATAGCTTTGTCGAACTGCGCACGCAGCATGTATATTACATCGAGGTAATCCGGCCAGCACAAATATTGGTACATTCCTACACAACTGATCAATACTATCTCTCTTCGTTCACTGATGTAGCGTGGATACTTGTTTCCTGAAAGATAATCAAGATTAAGTGTAGTTCATTTTGACACTTTGAAGTGTTTATGGCAGTTGGTAAATTCCATCAAAGACGTTTATGATGAAATTGCCTAATCTTACATGTTTGTTGCCCCAAAAATTTGAACGTAAAGATATCAATGAATTTTTGGATATTTGTCACTCTTTGGAAGGGAGCATTCTATAGAGTATGTTGGATCGATTAAAACAGATGATAATAAAGTTAAGTTGGGTTAATACTGTCGGATACACCGAACACTCCAACTTATATAATAGGAAAAGGCTGCAGAGACATTATGGAATTGTTTTATTGCAATACTGCTACATTGCAAACACGTTATGAAACACGTTTTGACGCGCTACTGGAAATAAATTTCATAAATGATAATAAATTCAGAAATGTATGTATATAACATCATAGTGACGTTATGGTGTGATATACTTTATAATATATCATGTTTTTCAAATAATTTCGAATAATAAAATACAAATCTATTGTCAACTGTATATCGTTATATCAACATTAAAGCGACATTGATCCTTACATATATTTGAAGTTGTTATTATGAGATTATCATTGTACGAGAGTAAAGTGAAGTACAGTTGCTCTCAGTCTAAGAAGATTTTGTATAATTTTCAGAGACCAACATGCACAAGGATCCTGCAAAAAATCATTGAATACAGATAAGACTCAATTATTCGATTATGCTAAAATCTGAAAGATTTGATTCCGCGTAATGAGTTCGACACACTTTCAGATGAAATCAATATCTTATCTAACATCATCTCTTACATAGTCTACAGCCGTCGCTTGGGTTTTATACTTCCGGATATTGTCGTATTATCGAACCAGCGTCGAAATAAATGCTTCTTCGAGAGAATCTATTTAACAAAAATGTTTTACGTAATTGGGAAAATCAAATTTTCTGATCTTGTATTACATTGAGTGCCCCGATGTAAGCTTTTATTGCTGAACAAATAATATTTTTTAAGCACTCTTCGCTAGTTACACATATCAATGCAATTGTCAGAATAGCTGTTTTAGTTCGTCGTACAGCTATAATCTTGCAGTCCAATAGCGACCACCTGTTGGCTCGCAACATTAACCCATTTACCACCTTCCTTCATAAAGATGGATAATTCAACATCGTTGAAACGAGTGTCATTAACCATCTACAGTAGCTATCTAATATTTTAGATCACTAATTTCAGTCGTTGCGCACGACACCTGAAAATGTTTCTGTCCATCATGTTATGGTTACGAAACTGTCATATATTTTTACGTACAACAAAGTATGTGTATGATTTTCGGTTTTTGTAAGCACTACCTTCATAAAATTATTTTTTTACTCGTACAAAGAACTGTGTCACGGAAAATATTTAATTATTTATAATGAAAAAAAGTCGTTTCCAATTAACTCTCTCTTCTTGAAATTGTACAACTTTTATTTACGATACTTACAGAGAGAGAAGATAATAGAAACAATAACATACATCTGTAGGTGCATATTTCATATTTCCTTATAAATAATAACTCGACGTTACATATTTTCTCATTTTGAAGATATCGACGATCGAGTTGCCCACATAAACAAGAATCTCGTTTGTGGAGTCTAGCACAGGTTGGTACCGGCTCCGTTATTACATCTTCGCGCGCACCACCATATAATATACTATCTTTAAGATCTTAAAGGAAAAAACTGCGAATGAAGCTTCGAGACAGAGCAAATCCGAGATACAGCCCGTGCTATGGCGATAGGATATCCAAGCCGCGTACACGTCCGGATACCACAAGTTATTTGTTTGGCATCAGCCTCGCGGATTTTATTCTTTCAGTCACGACATTACTCTAAATCATGTTTTGCGCTCGTATCCCCCCACCACAGGGCGAATCACGAGAGTGCATTGATGCCGCAGGGGAAGGGCCGGGGATGACATCGAGGTAGGACAAACCAGAAAGAGCCTGTAGGAGGGAGCATACCGGTCGAAGACGGAAAAGAGGATGGCGGAGGGGGACTCGATCTGGTAAGATGTTGCCTTTTCATTCTCGTAAAGAGCCGCAACGAAGAAGAAAGACGGAAGAGCCGTTGGACGGGGAAGGAAAACCGAGGCAGGAGACCCGTGAAATGATGCCTCCCTCCGCCACAACTCCATCTGCTGCCATCCGTACGAAACGAATCGCCAGGAGTCCACCACTACTCGTCCATGATGACGACAGGAAAGACGACTTCGTAGCTAAAATGTATTTCACGGATGACATCGACGGTGGCATCGAACTCGACTGGTGCTTTCAGTGGAAGGGGCAGATATCAGGATGGAACGATGGAATGGCTGTAGGACGGGTTGGTTGGTCTACGGAGGGGGAAAGAGGAATCATTTGCTTCATTTTGGGGCCGAGAGTGGATCTTCCACCCGTGTATTCGTTTATTTTTGTCTGAGACCATTTCATCGTCCTTGATCTTCTTACTTGGTATCGTGCGCTTCTTTCTTGCTCTTCTTTTCTCTTTAATCTGCAGATTGCACGTGCATGTAAATAGACCAATTCCAGGTAGTGTAATTTATCGGGCAGATGGTTCAGTGATAGTCAGTACGGCGAAAGTTCCAACTTGAAAGACGCTTTCAAGACACACTCCGATAACCAGCTCTATCATAAAGAAAACCTACTTTTTGCTACTTTTTTTAAAGAATTACGATCATATTACTTCATATAATATACAACGTTATCTAAATTATTTGTTTCTAGTTAATTATAACTTGGCTTTGTGATAGTGTAAGCGAGCTGAATTCTTTCTTCTTTTTATGAGATCGTAAAACATTTAGAGGGTATAGAGGAAACAACACGTTAGCACGTTGAGGAGCAAATTAAAGAACAAACAACAGGATTACATGAAAAATATTTGCTTCTTATTATGACGTTACATCATGCGTACATGTTTGTAAGAATAAATATAAATTCTGATTCTGATTTTATCTTGCGCGTTAACTTATGATCTCATAGATTATTTAAACTGTTACAGATTTCAGAAATTGAGATTTTTTACGTAAGTATAACGTCATATAAGCTGATGTTACTTCGTTAATATTTAATACGCGAGAGACCTGTCAATTTTAATATGAATAAATAATGCGTAACAACTAATAAAATTAACAAAAAGAGTGCTTTACACGTAATTATCGAAGTTATTATTCTTGTTAGCTTCTATAATAACGTGTTTAAAGAGATGAGTTTTTGAACTTTAAAAAGTGATCCCTGTAAATGCATACCTCAAACATTGAAGCTGAATGAAAACAGCTACCAGAAGAAATCAATTAATGCGTAACAATGAAATAATGCGTAACAACTAATAAAATTAACAAAAAGAGTGCTTCACACGTAATTATCGAGGGAAGTTATTATTCTTGTTAGCTTCTATAATAACGTGTTTAAAGAGATGAGTTTTTGAACTTTAAAAAGTGATCCCTGTAAATACATACCTCGAACGTTGAAGCTGAATGAAAACAGCTACCAGAAGAAATCAATTCACCCAGTAACGTTGAAATAATTTTACGACGCACGAACAAAACGTTTCTTTCTTGATAAGTGTTAAAATGGACGGCTAACCGTTTGACGTTAGGCTAGTGAGGGACAAGGGAAGGGGTAGGTTTGCGGTTGGGTGGTTTGTTGGTGGAGTTATATACTGCCTCGTAAAACACGATCATTGCTTTATTACGTGCTCCCTGACGTATACCAGCTAATTGTTAGGTGCGAACACATTTGTAGGCGAGTCACTCGTCTATTCTTTCGGTCTCCTATTTTATGAAGCAGGAACAGTAACAGGAACAGGAACCGGTAAATATTGAAAATAAATAAACACTTAAAATTGTAAATGTTGGATTGAAATCACACTCACTGGATATCTTAATACAATGGAATACGTAAAGTTTATCTCCAAATCTTATTTTCTTCTTTCTGTACTTTTATCATCTATTGATATTTTTTAATTAATTAAATAAGAACCAAAAATTCCTCAAGTACATCTGGAACTAATTACAACAATACATAAACAGATTATTACTTCCTGCAACTGAAAATCAGTGGAAAGTAGCACATGATATAAACAAACAAAATTGATATAACATAAATAATATAACAAAATAATAATGATTTAATTTTGTCTATTGTTGAAGCTTCTACCGTCTTCTTTATTTTTTCCATTTCCTCTTCTTTTTGTATAGTGTAAACTATGGAAGATTCGCTACATTGCACAGTGAATAGAGTTTGTTGATTAAATTGGAATTTATAATCTTCTATACACACACTCGTTATATAAGGATTTCCTTACCTTCTCCTTCATCCAATTATTTCCCTTATCGTCACTGAAGGAGCCTCGTAAACATACATAAAAGGAGCCACAATGTACTGAAGCTTGTGATTTGTTAGTCGAAGCACCATCTTTGTAGAGCAGCGAAATTGCGTGGTAACACGCAACGCGAGTTGCCGACGGCGTAGCCAGAAATCTACACAAGAATCAACATTGATACAATATATCAATATTAAGTATAACAAGATAACAAGCAATAACAATGACAGACAGAAATAATAGCTAGCAATAGTATTAAACAATATGTTCATAAGATAACGTGGATGTAGATCAACATTACACAGATCTTGATAATATATACTTTTACACGGATTTTTACACGGATAATATGTATTTTTACATTTTTATTTTTTAAACATAATCTCTCTTTTTATATATATATATATATATATATATATATATGTATGTACACTGTAAAAAATTCCATGTAATTATGAAACCAAGCATTATATTTGTAAATTTACACACGTATCAAAATGTCTTTCGTATATATAAATATATTTTCATGCGATAATTATGTAAATTTACATCTATAAGTTGGTCTCAAAATTACCCATAACAGATGTAATTTTACATAAATTTTTTACAGTGTATGTATATATTATGGAAGATCAATTATCCCGGTAGTATAAAAATTCAATTCAGTAATTATTAGAGATGTCATGTGATTTATTCTTGTTCTTAATTTGTCTTTGTTTTGAACATTATATATTGGAACCTTGGTGCGACAGCGTGACTTTAAACATCAAAACAAGTTATTGAAAGCAAAAGAAATCGATCAATTTACAAACGCCCAGTGTGATATAGTAAATGTTTAGCATAAACTCTGAATGAGTCCAAAGAGGCACTACTGAAAAAAAAACAAGATCAATCTATTAATTCGTTAAAAAACATCAATTAAAAATACTGTCGCATATAAAACAAGATATATGTAGGATGATTAAATACGACAGTCACGAGATAATAAACATCGTGATTTATAACCGTAATATTTGCGATTAAGGGAATTACGCGATAACGCACAATCTTACGAAGCAAGAATCTTTAGAAGATCCCTACATTACGATTTTATATTTTAATTATGCGTGACTCTCTTCCCAAAACTACGTAAGTGGAATTCTACTGATATATTTATACAGCGGTGAGAAGAGGGAAAAGAAGCACGCCGGTGATATGACGTTTGAATGGACATCCACAAAAATAAATACTTTCAGAATCTACCGAAGATCTTGTGTTTTATCGGCTTTACGCTTGCACACTGCCGACTCTCTCCGAGAGAGGTATCTTTATTTCGTTCCTCTACTTCCAAACGTTTCTTCGTGCCTCAGTGAACAAAACGTGCATATTCAAGAACTCAATTGATTGCGAGTCTCTCGAGGAGAGTCTCTCCTTTAATTAGATTTAATTGAGTGTACGAAAATGGCGAGACCTCATTGTCTTTAACCGGCTTAATTTACCGCGCGTCGATTAGCTGTTTGCGAACATAGGAGAACAATATGCAGTCACATCTCTTATGACTATCAATATAGACGCCGGCTCTTTTAATGAGCAGAAGTTCAACAATTCCGTAGAGATATTTCATATATTTTATGCAGCAAGAAGGACGATAACGCGAAGAGAAATCTTTTAAACATTGAATTCTGTTAATCAGAAGTATTCAAAGTTGCTGCACTTAACGTTGGATGCCACGGACAAGTTGCTGGGTCTGCTGGGTGGGCTAAATATTTCAAGATATTCCCGTTATCGCGCCTACCATCTCGACGATTTTACGTGTCGAGGCGCGAGCATCGAGAGACGCACGCAGACTTTGGGTAGAACATCAAATGCGCCGCGCGATGTTTATTCTATCGGGGTATCAGCGTTTTCGCGCACAAAGAAATGGCGGAGGGTCCGCGTGGGTGTACGAGTACCGATACTTACGCGTTATATTTTCCGGTTGTTGCTGCCCACGTTCGGCTGTCTCTCACCCCTCTTCGTGCACTCGCGAGGAGAGCGTATCGCTCTGCCCGAGGATGACTCGTATACACCGCAGCCACGTACGAATTTTCGTATTTGGCTGAGATCACGTTTGGATAAAATGGCAGCACGGATCCCCTGCTGACGTCGATATATCCGCCCTCTGCGCCCGGCGCAGACACACGAACACGCGCTCTATGGAGCAGCTGGGCACACGGATATATACCCCGTCTTACATACAAATACCTGCGGGTATACCTGCCCAATACGCTTTCCTTCATCACCGCGCCGTCACGTATGCGGCAGAGAGATGGTTGAACTGGAGCCGGGACCGAAGTACGAAATAAAAACTTGAGCGGCTGCTGTCTAAATCGGACGAAAACTCGTCGCGAAACAGGAGGATTTTTTTGATTAAAGCCTCACGTAGAAAAATGCGGGTGTTACGTATCGAGTCGCAACAATCTGCATTGATTCAACGTTCCAGTCTTCCCGATTAGTGCTTGACCCTTCGCTGTGTTATACGTCCACACCAATGTACACATCGATGTTGACCTCAATCGTCAATATTATACGTGATGCAGCAATTTGTATTGTTTGAAGTGATAATGGAAGGTATCGATCACAATAACAGAAGGTTCTTCTTGTTATGTGGGTCACTGAAATAAGAATAGCTCACGGGCATGGCGTTGCATGTGTATCCATATAAAGATGGGACACTAAGAACTTGCGCAGGCGGAAACCACACCTTATCGTCGCGGAAGAACAGACAGGAAACTCAATAAGGAAGGTATTTCAACAACATGCCCAACATGCTCAACGCACTATAGATCGATACTCTCCGATGTCGACCTCCGAGATGCCTAGGCGAAATGTGATAACTAAGAATATACGCGAGAATATATATACGAGAGAGAGGATATTACTCGTAGAATCCTATCATATTCCTTTTCTTTCTTCCTCCTTTTATCTTCATTATTTTCGCGCAATGTTTCAGTCGATGTGGCAGATGCTCGCAACAAAGATAAAACGATTCGTCTGGACGTAAACTGAAGTAATATTCGAACTGAAATATGAGTAAAAGCTATTTCATATGTTCTTATGTCGAGAATATCGTCATGCGTCGATTTCGCATTTGAGATATACTTTACACTTTTTGCACAAGCAACTATTCGATTTTATGAGATCAATGAAGGACCGACTAATTGTTACGTATTAATAGAACGAGTGAAGCGAATATATTTTTGGAAAGAATGATGCGTATGTACAGGTTGGCAAACAAACACGTTTTGGTAGAGTGCAACAGATAAAACCTGGCGACGTTTATATATGGCAGCTGTTACGAATGACCTCAAAGAGAAATTCCAGAAGTTGAAGCTTAAAACAGAAGTTTGAAGACATATTTTTCCAGAAAAGAGAACAGTATTTTCACTCAGCGTCTGTATCCGTGCAAAATTGGCTCGTAAACAAGCTCACACGCCAAACTTATGATGTATATATGGCGAAAATGGTCAGAAGTAATATTTTTCGCTTGACCAAGGACTTATTCTTTGGATGCGATGAAGCATCTGGGGAATGAAAAATATTATATTAAATATTTAAATATATGTTTTGTTGTATTTTCATGATCGCATGCGAGAGAATATGTAATCTATAAATGGCGAAGTAAATTTTACATTATTAATAATTATATAGTTAATGGAAACAAATTTATCTTTATATATCTAATATATATAGTAGAATTATTTCTAATCTATTTAGTAGAATTTTGTAAAGAATTGATAAAATGTATTATATATTAATATATATTATACATTATATAGGATTAAAAAGAAAATTATCGGCTAAAAGAATCTTATATTGCATGGGCTTGTCACATTTAAAGAAAAAGTAGAAGAAACTGAAGTCCAAATTTGTTTCGCTATGGCATTTTGCCAGCTGTTGTCGATATAAACTTAAGCGGCAGAGAGTGAAAGACAAGAAACACCAGATCAATAAAAACTACTGTCGAAATATCAAGAGAGATCTATTGTAGCTACTGGATTAGAATTTAGGGAATATTTGTCGAATGTTCGTATTTCTCAAGCACAAAATAAATAAACAAAATCACTGCTATGAAATATTCCGTATTACACAAATACTTTCATATTGCGCGGCATATGGTGAAACGTATATCGCGACCTCGTTGTATACTCACACCCGTATTCCGTGAAATGCGAGGGCAATATAGACGAAGATATCTTAAAAGCCGAAGGTACGTTTCTCCATTTTCGTTTCTCCCCCCTCTGTCCATTTCGCTCTACCTGCTCCTTATTTTTCTCGGTCTCGTTCGACGTGGTCTCTCCGCCGTATTCGGAGACAGGTATTGCTTTCTATTTCCCAAAGGGACATTGGGTCAATTCCATGTCGCAGGACAGAGATCACAGAGCATACAGAAGCAAATGTATGTCGGCCATTTTCGGGGCTGACCGGGAGTCGACGGCGGAGACAGAGGTTGCGGGGGAAAGCAAAGAAAGTAGCTCCGACGTATCCCAATTTCCACAAAGTACAGGATATGAAAGGTCTCCTCGGCAAATATCATCGAGCACGTATTCTTTTACGTCGCAGAAACGGAACTGTCTGAGCCGTTAATTAAATTTTTTTATTATTCCATAAAAGTTCCTTGCTCGGAACGGACAAATTCATTTCGGCGAGTTTCTCAATGCACTTAGTCCCTGGTAATTTTTGCAATTTCTGAAATTGTGCAAATTGAAGAAACCGATCTGAGGAACGAAGGAAACTCGAGGAAGATAAAGCAATCCTCTGTAGATCCCAATTCCGCAAAGTATAGAGGATTTTTGTCCGTACATCAGTGATCTAATACATTTTTGCAAGGCAGCCTCCGTCCCATCGCGCTCGTTACGACTATCTTCGAAGAACTCTACTTTGTTCCCCACGGACTCTGACATTTTGGTAAGCAACCGTGGAGACTGCTCGTACTTTTATTACGCGAAGTCGAGAAGTACTTCGAAGCGGACAACGATCCTCGTGATTATACGCCTGTGTGTATGAGTATGTGTGTATGTGGGAGAGAAAGAGAAAGAATTTCTTTATTTAGGACGAAGTAAAGAGATGTTAGTACGCTGTGCTTGACATGATCAGGACAAAAAATACAGCTTCAATACTACCTGAACCCACTACTGACAAATCGCAGTCAATTAATCTACAAATTGAAAGAGCCAAGTTAATCGTGCTATCATTTCCTTATCTCGGGGTTAGCGGGTCATTGCGATCGTAAAAGCGACATGTACTTGTTCTTAACGGGGGCACGACGTAGTCGAATGTATATATACGAGCATTGACGAATTATGGCACCAAATCACCGTGCAAAACGTCGGTAAGGCTGGCCAATGTTGAAGTGGAGAGAGTGTGCAGTCGAACGAATTTAATTAAATTGTGTTTTCGATACGATAAGAAATTACTTTCCGCTTTATATAGAGGTGCTGAGGCCGCTGGATTTCGATTGGTGGAGTCTCGCATTATCAAACTACCAATACGTGTACGCTAGTGTTATCGCCTAGCCGGCCATATTGGATATTGGACAGTTTCGATCCGCCTATGCATATTATATATTCGCCAAATTTTCACACGAAATATATCGGCCTATCGTAAAGAAAATTCTCCATCTGAAAGGAATATTAAGTTATACAGTAGCTTATAATGGCCGATATCGATGCTAAAACGAATTAGTCTTAAAGGACGTAGGTTGACCAATTATTTACTTAATAGAGATATTTCGCCACAGATTTTTCGTCAGCCAACTATATCAGAACTTCTCATTCTTCGAGGCACAATTAATTGAAGGTTGCGGTCCGTGAATGAGAAAATCTGTCCTCATCGCCACCTGATAAGGCGATATAATAGCCTATAACTATCGTATCTGGCTGCAATAAAGTTTACATTCGGAATACTATGCCGTCACATATAAGAACTGCCGTCCCGACACGATCCGGCGCAGTGAGGGTTTTAGACGACGACGACGATAGGCATCGATATCGGATCAGAGCCCCATCCAAGTTTTTCTAATTTAATGACTTCATCCTCCGTCTGACTCCAGCGAACTCATTCGACTTATTCGTGGGCGAAGAGATCGGAGTCAGCGACTTTTGGCATACCCTCTCGTCGTCTCTGGTAAGATTTTTAAACGTTGCATTTTCTCTCTTGAGAGCCACTCCTTCGTTATTTGTCTCCCTTGCGTTTCTGACGTTTGCCGAAAGTTTCGAAATAAAAGGAAACTCGAGAGACGGGCAGCAACTCTTGCGAAGAGAAATTTTGTCCCTTCGCTTGCTGGGGAAAGGGTTTATCGAATACCTAACGGTATCAAGTTAGGTGGAATAGAAAACACTTTTGTGAACGGACAGTATTTTTTGTGCGGATCAAAAGATGTAGCGACAAGTTTTCACTCTATTTTTTCTCATTGCATTCGTCTCGGTTGTATCATCTATTCTCCTTCTAAAGAACGAGTTACATTGTATTTTTTTGTCTAATTTTTTTTGGTTACTCGGAAACTACTGTACTTTCAGTTGTTGTGGTAAGAATTTCAATTTATGTTACTTCACGGGCCAGCTACTTTTTCGTCAACTCAAGAGCAGATATTCGTCTGCGTTTCCTTGGACCGTAAATTTTTTTCTAATTTTCTCTTAAATCACGCCTCTATGCGTAAAATATCTCATTATGATTTTGTACTTCTTCAGAAGTTGATACTTAGATTTACTGTATTGATCTATTCTGATGAAAGAACACTGTCCATATGTCTAATAATACTTTCATTACACTCTTCTTTCACTCAAAAAGAGCGTAACGAGAGTATTATTAGACATATGGAGAGTGCCTTATTTGCCAGGAACTCTTTCGCTTTCGCCGGGGCTTATCTGATTTTAGATGTTTCATTTTAATCTCGTGTATAGAAAAAATGCTGAATAATTATTTTTTCACTAATTCTACCAACCTCTCTACAAATTATCTATTAATATAACCTAATATCGATAGTTTATATTTGTTCCCGCGTATGCTACTCGTTTCTCACGAAAAATTTGGGCTCCATGTTCTCATATCTCGCTACAATAACTTTCGTAACAGCGAAAGGGGTATATACGCGCACACATACATACACAACATCATATCTTTGAGTCTATAATATTTGATCCTAGCCGGAGTACTCTTGGAAAATAGCCCGACCTTTGCAGAAAACAGGGTTCCAACATTTCCAACGGTTCTATTTATAGTATACCGAGATACATCTCATACTTTCTATGTCTGCGCATTTCCCATCATCCAGACTGTAAGTTTCACCTTTAAATCCGCCTCAGTTGCATTATGAAGTAAGACACGATTCGAAAACCGATCGCAACGAATAGCAGAATAAGCGCTGCACTTTGCGGCGGGAGGAAAAAACGTACCACGGGGATCGATCGACTCGGCAGGTCCTCTCGTTCAGGGGGAGGAGACGGGAGGGTTGTGTGTACGTGTGTCGCATAGAATACGGTTGAAAATTCCGCGCGGCGGCCGAGCAGAGCCGAATTGATAAACTTTGCATGCGCAATATTGCGTGAGATTGCCGCGCGTCCTCCATCCGCGCCGCTTGATTACGTCAATTTACTTTCATGCAGTTGTTGCATAGCCCGCCGTTGTCCGCGCGACGCAGAATATTATTCTGCGCTACGGGTGTAGCACCACCCATATATACACGCTGTGTGTGCAATGTCGGTCGACTGAAAATTCGACGGGCGGCGTGCATGCGCATCTCGCCGCGCGAGTCGCCCCACTCGATAAAGTGCGCGCGCATTGCGCGCGTGTGTTACTCGT